ATATAGCTCAGGCAGGCTGAGGGCTACTCATTCATTCATTCATCCTGCGTGTCATTCATTATTAATAATATTATAACTCAGGCAGGCTGAGGGCTATTCATTCGTTCATTCATCCTGAGTGTCATTCATTAATAATAACAACATAGTAACTCAGGCAGGCTGAGCGCCATTCATTCATTCATTCATCCTGACTCATTCATTAGTAATAATTTTATTATAACTGCTGCACACTGAGGGCTAATCATTCATTCATCCTGCCACTCATTAGTAATAATCATATTATAATAACTCCGGCAGGCTGAGGGGCTCCTGAGGGGTTCGCTGTTCAGTGATAGATGGAGGACCCCGTTGAGACCCACCCTTCTTAAGTTTACCAGTATTCTGACTTGTCCCAAGGCCCTGCAAAGAGCAGGTGCAAACGTACCTTCCCAGCAGGCCAGGACCGTGCCGCAGCGTCACGGAGGGCCAGGCTGATACACCCCAGGTCTCTTCTCCGTGGGGACCCCTCAGGATGCAGTGTGGTCCGTGAAACTCCCCCGGGGAGGGCTGCAGCTGGACACGGTGCAGAGTTCACCCTCAAGGTGCAGGTGTGTTCCGGCTCAGACGCACGTATTTGGAGATTATTGCAAAGCACATTCAGGCACCTTCTGTATGCCAGGAAAACTCAGGGCCTGGGTCCCAAGAACCCAAGAACCATGCCCTTTCTTGCCTTTCTTGTTCTGTTTTGAGGCTGAGTCTCCCTCTGTCGCCCAGGCTGGAGTGCAGTGGGGTGCGATCTCGGCTCACTGCAACCTCTGCCTCCCGGGTTCAAGCCATTCTCCTGCCTCAGCGTCCCAAATAGCTGGGACTTCAGGTGCCCGTCACCATGTCTGGCTAATTTTTGTATTCTTTTTAGTAGAGATGGGGTTTCAACATGTGGGTCAGACTGGCCTCGAACTCCTGACGTCGTGGTCCACCTGCGTCGGCCTCCCAAAGTGCTGGCATTACAGGCGTGAGCCACCACACCCAGCCCCAAACCATGCCCTCCCAAACACTCATGGTGCAGGTTCCTTACACCCTCTGTGCCTCAGTTTCTCCACATGTAAAGCAAAGATGATAGGTGCGTCTTCCTAGGAGGGGTGCGCATAAAAACATGTGCACACATTCAACGTGACGCCCTCTCCAGGAACAGGAGGTGTCACCTGAGGGCTCAAGGACCTTGACCCTTCCCTTCCCCGTCGTGTCCATGTAGCCGGGAAGGAAGCTGTGTGTGGCCCGGGTGGGTGGGGGAGGAGGACATTCGAACAATGCTCGACTTGAGAACTTGGAAGTCTTTCTCTGTGGCTTCCTGGCTGACACCACGAGGTCGGCTGCCGTGTCTTGGGGGAGAGGGTGACCCTGGCCGTGGCCACAGCCCTCTGGGGGACAGGAAAGCCCCAACAAAAAGGGGTGTAGTGTTCAGAACTCGGGGCGAGCTGGGAGACAGCCAGGAGGAGCTGGGGGAAGGTGGACCAGCCACAGGAAGTCAGAGAGAAACCTGAGGCTGCCATTCCTGCGTCACGAGGCAAAGGTTTCTTGAGATGACAGTTCACCAGCGCCCCTCGCTAGGTTCGCTGCTTTGTCATTCCCCCAAAAGGAAATGTCGTTTGAGGGGAGCTCACTCCCCGTTTCCCCATTCCCAGCCCCAGCCATGGGCATCTGCTTTCTCTCTACAGGGATCGGCTGTTCTGGGCATTCTGTGTCTGGCTTCTCTCCCTGACATGATGCCTTTGAGGTTCATCCACAGCGTAGCCTCGTTCCTTTTCATGGCTGCATAGTATTCCATTTGCGTGGCTGTGTAGTATTCTACCTTGGGGATGAGGGGCGCACGTTGTGTTTATCGTCTGTCTGCTGACACATGCTTGGGCTGTTGTGCATAATGCTGCAGGGAACGTTCATATTCAGATTTTTATTGGTGCCACCGTTTCTGGTGTTGTTTTTTTTGAGACAGAGCCTCGCTCTGTCACCCAGGCTGGAGGGCAGTGGTGTGATCTCAGCTCACTGCAGCCTCCACCTCCCGGGTTCCAGCGGTTCTCCTGCCTCAGCCTCCCGAATAGCTGGGATGGCAGGCACCCGCCACCACGCCCGGCTAATTTTTGGGTTTTTAGTAGAGACGGGATTTCACCGTGTTGGCCACACTGGTCTTGAACTCCTGACCTCAGGTGATCCACCTGCCTCGGCCTCCCACATTGCTGGGATTACAGGCGTGAGCCACCGCGCCCTCCCTCACCCATTCTTACATGAGACATTTGGAAATGGTACTCTCGCTTTCCAAAATGATATGCAGAAATAATGTATTATACATATAAATCATATATACATTGTATATACACAGAGCATGATCTATAACATACATTGTGTATAATTTTGTAACGCTATGTTCAGCGTTACATATAATGTACATAAATTACCATACAAAGCGTAGATAATACTATGCAATATATTAATAATTACTAATTATTTAATAACATAATTATTAAATATACATACTATATGTGTTTATTATATAATAATTTGCCTATAAATTATTATTGTATAAATAATATAATCTATAAACAATAGACATAATATTATACACTAATAATTTGTATAATTTATATTATATATAAATTATTATATTTACCATGAATGTAATGAGCTCCGCATGGCCAGGGTGGGGTGGCGGAAGGTTGGAAGCCTTTCCAATTTCTCAAGTCCAGCGTTGCTTGAATTTCCTCCTCTCAATCCCCACCCTGGCCACACGGAGCTTATTATAGATCGTATATTGTATGTATTGTATGTAATTATTAAATATACATACTCTACGATGTATTTAATTAATTATATAATAATTTGTATATCAATTATTGTATATAAATAATATATGTAACAGACATAATTTTTATGTCATTTGATGTACTTATGTATATTATTTCAATATAATTAAATTGATATGTCTGCATAGCCTTAATTACAATATAAAAGAGAAACAAAATCAATAAAATGTTCATAAGATAATATTTAATTTAATATGATACACTTGGCCATAAATTACACTAAGACATCTTCAAGTCGCTGAGCGAGGCGGCTCACCCCTGT